TATTTTTATTTACTTTATTTTATTATTACATATTTTTAATTTTTTTTTTAATTTTTTTTTTATTTTTTATTTTTTTATTTTTTTATTTTTTTTTATTTAATTTTATTTTTTTTTCCGTTTTAGTTAAGATTTTAAACTTTAGAATATTATATTATTTTAATTGGATTTGGATTTTTCATTACTATTGTCTCTTTTTTTTATGAATTTATCTTTACTTAACTTTTGTTCTGTGGTATGGTCGAACCTCTCCTGCGTGAGAGTGTTCCTCTGCTTTGAAAGAGAGAGCCAATAAATTATTATTACCATATCTGCTTGAGTAAGCACCCACCCAGAATCCATTTAACCATGGAACATTTTGATTATCTTATCAAGCACTAAAATATTTTTATAAAAAATACATGTCCAATACAAACATTTTTATGTCTTGAGAAACTGGTAATGCAACTTGCAATCTTAAACTAAAAGGAACAAGTATCACTTAAATTTCTTTATAGTCCGGTTCAAGTAAGTGCCCAGCCATAACAATTTTGTAGGCTCCGGGCACTTTATTCAAGTGGGTACGTGAATATGTAAATGTCAAAATCTAGGGTTTGTTGCTGCTTTGTTGGGTTACCTTGGTCAATGACACAGGATATATAAGCATGGACCTATTAATAAGATTAATTAAACTTATTAAAGTATGTGGCTCTAGTGACCGAAATGCAAGATAATGAATACGGTATTATCACATCTTCACAAATGTGGTCAAAAGAACATGATGTTTTATTAGACAACCGTGGACGATTTCATTTTTCTCAACCAATTCAGGAAGCTAAGAACTTTATATCAAATAAAGTACAGTATCAACAAATGCAATTTATGACAGTTTTTTTTAAATAGGTACCATGCTTTGTGTACAGGATAGCTAAAATTCGTTAATTATATACATTTTAGTTAAAGGAAATTTTTTGTAAATATGTTAAATATGAAAAAAATAAGAATTTTTAATAAATAATGTATTATTTATTAATAAAGGTTTTTTGTTTGTAAATATTAATATTTATTGTAGTACAAGCAATAGATAGCTGCCAAATTAACTTAATTGGTTTGGTTATTACCATTTATAAAGAAATAAAATATGTCTTTATTAGATATTACTATGTCAACCTTTTGTCATGAAGTTACCATCACAAAGTTACCATAATTTTTTTTTTCATTTATCAATTTATTAATATTAGTTGATAAAATTTCTTTTATTTTTTAGTGTCATTTTAAAGCTACATGTATATTTAATGCATACCATATCCCTAAAGTATATTATAAGCCTTCATTTCACAGATTTTTTTGAAAATGTATATATAGCTTAAAAATCTTCGTCCATTTTGATGTCATGAAGTTACCGACATTATTAAAATTAATAATTAATATATGGAAGGTGATATTTATTTTTTTTTCTTGTAGGAATAAAGTTACATATAGTAGGAACAATGTGTATATATGGTTTGGTCAATTTTGAATAAATTATGTGTTTTTAAAAAAGTTAAAGTGTTGAATTTGTTGTAAAAGTGTCATGAAGTTACCGTGGAATTGCCTAAAAACAACAACACATATAATCATAGCCTAGGTATAGACTGGAATGATGATCATTTATTAAAAGAAGGCCAGCCTAGACTACATAGGCCTAATCAGTTGTTTTATTATTTTACAATCTCAAAATTTTTACTGGTTGGCCAGTTATGTTTACCGGTAACATTGACGGCTAAAATGGCTTCGGGAGAATACTGAGGTACTGTATATGTAGTTTTTTTACAGGATATACTGTGGAATACAGGTACATGAAAAGTTCGCCTTTTTAATTTTTTCTTTTAGTATTCTCCACCCGTGTCAAAAGAGCTCAAGACAGGCAGACTTTCCAGCAGTTTGCGCAATGAGTTTGCAAGAAATGTGTGTTCTATGATCAGAGTCCACAAATGAATCCCACTAAGAGTGAAAGGGAGCATGTGTGTTTTCAAATAAGAAATATCCATTCTTGGCAGGCACCATGGGTTCGGGCATAGTAAGTACAATCATCTAACTAAAACCCTTACAGACAAATGTCTTGCAAGTACTGTCACCGTATCTGCTTGAGTAAGCACCCACCCAGAATCCATTTAACCATGGAACACTTTAATTATCTTATCAAGCACTAAAATATTTTTATAAAAAATACATGTCCAATACAAACATTTTTATGTCTTGAGAAACTGGTAATGCAACTTGCAATCTTAAACTAAAAGGAACAAGTATCACTTAAAATTTTTAAGTTTCTTTATAGTCCGGTTCAAGTAAGTGCCCAGCCATAACAATTTTGTAGGCTCCGGGCACTTTATTCAAGTGGGTACGTGAATATGTAAATGTCAAAATCTAGGGTTTGTTGCTGCTTTGTTGGGTTACCTTGGTCAATGACACAGCATATATAAGCATGGACCTACAGTATTAATAAGATTAATTAAACTTATTAATAGGTCCATGATGTGAGGCAGTTGGAACAGAGAATGGAGAGACTGATGATATGCAGGGAGCATGTACAAGACTTAAAGAAAGAAATGTCAAAGTTGAGACACCGTAACTACTGGACACTCTAACTACTGGACAAACATGCTCCTGTAAAAAAGTGTGTCACTTTTCTGCGTCCATACTGCAAATGGTATACAGCTGAGATCTTAGAAGCTAAAAAAAAGAGACGTCATGCAGAAAGGAATTGGCATGTCTAAGTTAGAAGTTCACCGGCAAATTTTTTGTAGTACTTGCAAACATGTCAATTTCCTCATCCATGCAGCCAAGGTTGATTACTACTCGAACCTTATTTCGCAAAATGCACATGACCAGAAATTTCTTTTCAAAATTATTTCAACCTTATCTAATGCACGAAATGACAATGGTTTCCATCATGTACTTCTAAAAAAGAACTCTCTGAAAAATTTAACAATCACTTCATCCAAAAAGTGAACGACATGCGTGCAATTATTGATGCTGAGAACAATACTGTTGATTTTAGTGACCTAGAAGCCATATCATTGACTTCCATAAATATATTTATAAAAAATGTGTCTGAAGATGATGTTCAGATATTAATTAACAATCTAACCACTAAAACATGTCTGCTTGATCCACTACCAACTACAATTGTCAAACAGTGTCTACACAAGCTCCAGTTTATTATTACACAGATTATTAATCTGTCTCTGGAAAATGGTGTTTTTTTTCTGACTCACTCAAGTTAGCAGTTGTGCTGCCACTTTTAAAGAAACCAACGCTTGATCGGGAGATTCTTCGAAACTACAGACCAATTTACCATTTATTGCGAAAGTAATGGAAAAAGTTGTTGCCTCTAAGCTGACTACCTATCTTCACAATAATTCTTTGTCAGAGCCTTTTCAATCAGCATACAGAAAATTTAGCAGTACTGAAACAGCTCTCATTGCTGTTGAGAATGACATCTTGTTATCACTTGACAGTGGACAATGTGTGCTGTTCACACTTTTAGACTTATCCGCTGCAGTTGACACGATAGACCACGAAATCCTCCTACGTTGATTATCAGATTTGGGAATTGGGTATTTAGCTCTCCAGTGGATGCGTACATATTTAACAGGCAGACTTCAATTTGTTAATATTGACGGCCATTTATCTTCTTCGCAATGTGTATGTTCCGGAGTGCCTCAGGGCTCTGTCCTGGGCCCAATCTTGTTTAACATCTATATGCTTGGATTGGGGAAACTAATACAGCGTCATAATCTCAATTTTCATCAGGATGCTGATGACACTCAAATATATATATCTTTCTCTCGGTCAGATTTTCTGCTGTTATCAACTCAGTTGAGGTATGTTTTAGTGCTATAAAGAAGTGGATGACACAGAATAAACTAAAGCTTAATGATTCAAAAATGGAAGTTGTAATTTTTCAGTCAAGGTTTATCCCTCACCATTAAAAGTTGGGGGTGTGAACATTGGTTCCTGTCTCATTCAGCCTGTAACATCAGCCAGGAATCTTGGTGTTCTTTTTGATACTTCGCTTACTCACCAACAACATGTCATGAATATGTCTCGTTCAATTTTCTTCGAAAGATTGGTCAAATCAGGAAGTATTTATCGCAGCATACATGTGAAATACTTGTTCATGTCCTGGTATCGTCCAGGCTTGATTATTGCAATGCCTTGCTATATGGACTACCCGATACATTCATTTTATGCCTTCAAAGAGCACAAAATGCAGCTGTCAGAATCATTGCTAAGAAGAGGAAGTCTGATCACATCACACCAGTTTTAAAATATCTCCACTGGCTTCCAGTTCACTACAGAATTGAATTCAAAATCCAATTGTTAACTTATAAAGCTCTCAATGGTCATGCTCCTAACTATATATGCAACATTATTCAGTATTTGCAACCATCAAGATCCCTTTGGTCTTCTGAAAAAACATTGGTTATACACACCAAGATGGAAATTAAAATCTTTCGGGAAGCGTTCTTTTTCCTGTGCTGCACCATATTTATGGAACAAAGTGCCCATTGAAATATGGAACTCTCCAAATCTGAATGTGTTCAAGAGCAATCTGAAAGCTTTCCTTTTTTCAAGAGCATTCTGGACAAGTGTGACACCTACACTGAATATTTCTGGATATTGGCACTATATAAATATTTTGATTGATTGATTGATAGAACAATGATTTAATTGACAACCTAATGGAGGCAACCTATAGCTACCGGCGTAGAAACATCCTTGAAAATCAGGTGTCGATAAATAACGTCATGCTGGAATATTCTGCACTTCAGTTAGTGTCAGAGGTATGTAATTACTACTTCTTATCTAGATATAAATTTTTTTGGCCTTATCCTTCCCCAGAATTATGCTTTTCTCTTGCAGCATAATACTAAAAAAAAAAATTCCTAATATTTCCTAATGATGTTTCCCCCATAATTTAGCCCATTTGTCAATGAAATTAAATTCATAATTACTGTAACTAACACTCATATAATTTTTTTAAATTTTTATAATATTATGGTGGTTGGTAATGTGGATGTTGTTACATAGAAGATAGATTTACTACAAGACTGCATTTACACCTCAAATTTACATAAATCCATCAGAACATAATCCACTGCCTAGTTTGTTAGTTATAGGCTTATTTAATTACCTAATTCAATCATAATAAAAAGTATTTATCTCATGTCTAACTGATGTTGCATTTTCACATGCAAGAAGGTACTGTACTCCAATGTACAGTATTATCAAAATGGACAATCCCTCACAAGAATTATTCGGCAGAGACACTCGTGCAAAACATTATCTACAAAAAGGTCCTTTAGAGAAAATTATGGCAAGGTAAAGATAACATCCTCAATGATTGCCTCCTCAACTTCCCACAACATTTAGCTATATGCCTTGCCACCTTTTCACAACCATTTAACACTATGCAGAGCACAGGTATATGCTAGTATAAATAAATGAGGCCAAGGACCCTTCGGAAAATTAGGGTGCCATCATAATGTTATTATATAGTTTGAAAAAATGGAGGGCAAAAACACCCACCCCTCATTGCTTAACCCCTTGGAGATTCAACTTCTCTAGGGCTCAGGATTATAGTGGTTTCAGACCTAATTTTTATTTTTTGGAAGTCAAATAAATCAATCAATCTGTTTTGCTTTTCCTTTTTTTCAGATCAAGGCAGAATTTTCAAGAATACTTGGGGAGGAGAAATTAGGAATATGGGACGTGCCTTCAAAACAATGCAGTCAAGTGTTTTTAATCTGGCTATGGCTAAGGGGGTGCTGAAAGACCTCAACATCAACAACCTTATTGAGGAATATCCCAGCAGACAATCAGGTACCGTATTTATTGCACATGTATGTATCCCAATGAATTATAGAAACTTCATTTTTAATTTTATTTATTTTATTACATGTACAGGTACAGTATGTCATGGATTATTTCATTAAAATTATGATAATACCTGTAATATCTATTGAAGAGGACAGAAGTTCAATTACAATATATAATTTCAGTTTTGGTGTCTGAGGCGCACGGTATTATTACTATAACGTGATGATCACTGAGGCATTTCCCCTTCCCGGAGGTGCCGGCGATTGTGGGCAATCCCAAATTTAAAAATTAAAATGTTGATGTGTTTACTATGTATTCTGTGTGTGTATGTTTTGTATGTTTGGTATTCAAACTGACAAGCCACCGCTTCTTTTGATGCCTATGTAAACAATTTGCAATTTGTAATTTGTTGTGAATTTTTTCTGAATAAATGTTTCTGATAGTGTTGACAAATAAAAAAGATAACCAATTGGTGATCAACAAAGACACCAGAAATGACAAAAAACAGAAAATTTGGATTGTTAAGTGAGATTTACGTAGGGAAACAAATGTTTCTTCAGAAGCCGACGAAAACCAAGATAAGAAGAAGCATGTTGTAACTTGCTAGGAAGACTATTCCAAAGCCTAGGTGAAGCAAATTGAAAAGGCCTTATCACCAGATTTTTTATTAGACTGAGGTATACAAAGACAAAATGAACCAGATGAACGAAGATTATGGCCATGGCGATATTGTTGCCTAGAGGTAAGTGTACAGATGTAAACAGGGGTACTGTTTTGGCAATTAATTGAACAAAATGTGATGGAAAGTGTACAAAAAATAACTCTCTGTCTAATCAGATCTTCAACCAATGAAGTAGTGGACTAGCAGTATGAAATTTAGGAAGGCGAAACAATACAATATACTGTAAACACTTTATGTTTATCTTTGTTATTGACTGTTTAATTTTAATGTTTAACTGCACCCACAGAAATTGAAGGAATGGCTAGCGTACTTGCAATCCTCTGCTGCTTAGGGAGACTGGGACAGACAGTGCCATTATGAAAATTTTCTCTAGAAAAAGTCTAGAAAAAACAAAAATACAAAATAGCTATACCCTAAGCCTAAAGCCCCTTTGATAGCCTTTTGAAAAGATCTAAATGCTGAGTATCTATATATTTGACCTAATATAACCACACACCATCGTTAGAAGGCTAGTACAGTAGTAATATAAATACTATTATTGTAGCAATAGAAGAATGGGAAATAAATTATTTTCATTTTAAAGCAGTAATAAAGATGAAAAGACAATAGCAAAATGGTATAGGCTATATGCCTTTATGGTAGAGTGTTGGAAAATGTTTGTCCCCGTTCATATACCGTACCAACGTGAATAAATACCCTGTACGAATAAGCGTTCAACCTTGGGGAAAGGTTTTCTTCGCCCCATTTGAATTACCTCACCTTTTAAATTGTTGAATACTAAATACAGTATTTCGACTGATGCTCAAATGCGCACATATATTTGGATTTTAAACCTTATATCTTAGCCTAAAGTTTGAGACATCAATCACACTATCGAATATCTTTAAGGTGCAGTTATATCGAGTAAATTTGGAAAGTTGATATCAAGTAAACAGTTTTCATCAGAGAACTAATTATACAAAAAATTATTAATACAAAACAATGGAGAATGCTACATTACAGGTGACGGTGCCCTACAAATTTTCAATAGTCACTATTATTTTCCCTTTCGAGTAAGTTTATAGGAATAGATATAATATAATGGGTTATGAACAGGATTGATTGCAGTTAAACACATACATAACCCTAGGCTCGTTCTGCCCGACTAAAAGTAATATCTATTTTGATTTGTATATTAAACAAATTCTCCCTGCCTACTTATTTTTTAGAAAGAAAGGATGTAATAAGTTGCTTGTAATTGTTTTTAGATTAAAATCTGTATCTGTTCTTTCTTCATTTTCTCTTTGTTTTGATTTCTATTAGGAGAATGAATCCATTGATCAGAGCATTAAGGAGTCTATTTTTCCATGGCTGGTGGGGTCAGGCAGCCTCAAAGATGTTGACACTCTTTACATTGCTGCTGAGGAGAAAATAATTTCAAAGCTGAATGGCTTCAATGTTGACGCGGCAGTGGCCATAGCCCTTCTAATTGGTACATTTTATGTCTTCAACATTCAGTACCCCAACAAATTAAAAAATACATATTTTTAGAATGAAAAATGCTTCAAAACAAAACAAAGGAAGCTAACAAGTGTGTAATCGTACAAAAACTCTTAAAGGAACTAGAATAAATTTAACTGAGAACCATGTCACATCAAACCTACTAGAAATATTACAAAAAGTTTTGTATGACAATTTGCAAATATTCTTGTTGGACCAATCACATTTATCATCTTCACTGAAAAACACTGGGCTAGGTACTAAGATATTTTGAACTATTGCAGTCCAGTCTGTCTGAACAAACTGCTGTGTTTAGTGGCTGTCTTTAACTCGAAATTAATCATTGTTAATTTATTCTTTCCAGTATGAAATTGACATTACTAGTACATGGTAAAATGTAAGAAAATGTAGTGAAGAAAAGATTACCGTAAAGTCTGTATTTGTTTAGAATTATTTAAAAAAAATAAAAGGGTAACAAAGAATAGTGTTTTTTGTAGTTTTTTTTTTTTAAATTTATTTGTAGTCTACTACGGTTAATATAACTCTAAAGAAAGGGGGTGGGGGTAGTAATACTCCTTTGGGGAGTAAAAATATTGGAGTAAATATTAAGAAAAAAAAGTCATTCTATACCTTTTTTTTATTAACTCTACTTTTGGAGTTATAGTGACTACTAGCAGAAAGACCTTTCTTAGTATCGCCAACCTACATCGATAATCAGAAGAAAAAAAATTGCGTATTCAGTCGTGAATTATACAAAGTCTATACTATTGGTGTTGCGAACTTGTGGGAGACATTCAGAGAAGTGGAAATGATGCTGTAAATACACCGTCACCATAGGTGCCAATAGATGATCTTGTTCTTTGTACTTGTTCTTTGATGCTGCAAAGATGAACGGAATGTCCTTTCTATTTTGTGGTCGCTTACTAGATGAGCTATGTACTGTGGTTCACTGCATTGTTACATTTATAATTGTAAGAATTTTATACAGCATCCTGTGCTGCACCGGCAGCCAATGGAGACTTTGAAGTACTGGACTGCTGTGTTCGCTCAATTTTACAAAGTAATATCTCATTGAAGTATTGTGTTCTAATTTTGCGTCTGATGTTTAACACAATTGCAATACCCAGTAACTAGAAGATAAAAATATAAACAACGGAATATTACTCTGAAGAAAATAAGTAGTAGTCTGCTCATAATGTGAATTCCACTATTTAAATGTGTATTGTTATAACATTCAAAAGAAATGTTGAAGAAATCCACAAAAGAAACTACACTTGTACGACATATTTTTATTTTTTATTGACGTTTTACTTTGCATCTAATATTTACTAATGTAGGATAGAGCTCTTGTGATTGTACTGTTCCAGCTAGATCCTAAATTTTCGGACTTAAAATTGCTGGAGAACGGAGTAGTCAAAAATGATTCTTCTGCTTTTCTCTCTATTTCCTTTGTTAGTTTTCTTTGTTAGTTAAGATATTACCCTGTCCTGTTTCTGTGCATAAAGGCAATGTCATCGTATTATGCACTGCCCTGGCACCCACTTTTGGAAAGTAAAGAAAACGAAAAAAGAAAAAAAAAAAAGAAAGATACATAAAAAAAGAACTGAAATCTAAACATGTCGTAATGATATCTTTTTTAATGCAATTTTGCCAACAGTTCAACGAGATGAAAAACTTACATTTGTATGTCGAGGACTTAACAATGGAATTTGTTGTTAAACTTTATAATCAATAATTAATATTCAGCAAAATGTGTAATTTGATCATTTTGTAAAAAAACATCTTGCACAATACTACGTTTCAGACTCATAGCTTGGTATTTTTGTAGTTGTTACATGTTTTAAAATAAAGTATACCAAGAACATATCTTATAAATGCAAACACTGATATTCCTACTTACTTCTTTTGCACGTTGGTCCAACAAACCCAATGGGACACTGACAAGACTGAGTGTTATTAACTGATGTGACACAAACTCCGCCGTTTAAGCAGTCGACATTGCATCTGTCCTCTGAAAAGTACATGCGATAGTTATTCAAATATATCAAATAATTGTTCATCTTATTTAGTAACAGGGCAATTCAATTTTGCAAACAGGAAAACACCTTATAACATTTTCTTAATCACTCAGACTAAAAGTCTACGAATCACATTTGCTGTTGCTTATCAGCATTTCTTTTATTGTTAACCATTTTGCAGAAATGACGCCTAAGCCTAGGTACGACAATGTATTTTAAAACTGCCGGACACCTATTAAACTAGTCCATGTGGAAAAAAAGTGCTGTAGGTTATGGCGTCTCTGCCACTACTTGGCCATTCAACTCGCCTAGTCAGGTTAAAAAAGTAATGAAAAAATAACTGTATTTTTTAGCTCCTAGAGGCAGGAATGTGTTTTTCTGTATAACATAATTTTGTATGTAACTTTAAGTTTAAAATATATTGTAACTTACCAGAGTATATGAATATTGTATGCAATTCACTCTCATACAGCTCCATCTTTTGGCCAGTCTCAATATCAGCTCGGCCGATGCCATCATAAATAGCACTATTATAGTACACATAATTTCCGTAAACCTGTGTATTTAAAGTGTAAGCACTGTTTGTAACCTGCCTTGCATTCGTTCCATCTAGATCACATTCCCAAATAGTGGTTGGGCCTCCATCATACCAGTACAATTTACCTATGCAGAATAAAATACGTATTTAAAAACAAATGGTGCCTCTTATAAATCAATTCAAATTACCAGAGAAATTTCTAAATTGTAAAGGTTAACCATTTAAAAAATAATCTCTGGTGTTTATTCACACAATTAACTTCTTCAGGGAGTCTGAAAAAGTCCAGCGAGGTTAAAAAAAAAAATGAGAAGGTTTGATGTATTTATGGCTGAATTTCCAAGTACTGAATTATCTCGTCATTTAGATTGTTTTTGCCTCTCAAGTGTAAATATATATAGTTTTATATTACCTTTCCCCTGCACAATATAAATACCCTTCCCATCACGGGCTTTGCAAAGGTCTAATTAAAGATCTATAGTCTATTCTATAATGGGAGTCGCAAAGCAAATTATGATTATATCACGGAAATGACGACACACATTCAGACTAAAAATTTGAATATTTTATTTCCATTTTTTTTTTGTTGACAAATGTAGGGGATCTTGGCCGGCTGGGCACCCCATCCCACTGGATTAATATGATATATGTCGTACATTCGATGTCAGAGACACATGCTGTCATGTATCAACAAAGCCCTTTCAGATTAGGGTGCTACAGAGCGAAGATTGTATGGGTAGGGGCACCGCAGGGGCCCCTAAGAGTGGGTGGCCCTGCGGACTGCTGCACGAGAGGGAGTACGCTGAGCATGGATAGCTGTTCTAGCTGGGTACTACAATACATTCCGTTATAATGGCTAAAACGCTTAGATCTCTGTCTTTTCGGCCTTTTTTACATCCTTGTTTATGAAATGTTGGAAAAATCTGTGTCGAGGATATAGCGTTGTGTTCGTCGTCAGTCAATAGAAAATATTAAAAAAAAGTAGTAAAATAATTATATTAATAACCTCCTTTCGCCCATACTGCTAGATCCGTCACTGAACTCATGGGTACATTTCCTTTTCTTCCCTCTTTCCTCCCTTTAACTCTTCTCAATTTTTTTCTCCTTTTTTTTTTGTTCGGCGGGACTGACGGGGAACATGGGCCCCGTGTCCCCCCCCCCACTGGATCTACCTCTGACAATTATTAAAATTACAGCTAAATGTTTGCTAAATGTGTAAAGACAATCCTACTGCAGATGTGATGATATTTCAATTTAGTTATACAAATCTTCTCAGACACAATATTGTTTACTAATAATGTATCAATACTATTGTTATGGATGCAAATATGAACAGTAGCTTGTAAGGTTGAATGTTTTGAACACTTAGAGGCCAATCACTTGTTTACGGCAGCTTTAAACAAAGGAAAATAAAAATAAGAAAACATTAAAATATAAAAATGAAAATTAATAGCTCAGTTTGCTGGTTGAGAAAATAGTTGTGCACCCTTACAAATGGCCCCCAAAAATGGTATATGTGCACAAACGGAAATGTACAAATAAAAAAAAAATACTTCATTTATTTATTTATATAAAATAGCCTTTGTCCACATTTCTTAACAATGCATGTAGTATAACTTGGTATTGAAGGTGAGAAAACAAATGTGAATATCACTGTCATTTTAACTTACCAGTTTTTGATATTGACAAGCCACCTGTTACACTGCGACGAGCATCAGTTATGTTTTCTCGGATACTTATATCGTCTAAGCAAACTCGTTCGATTTTAACATACTTGTTGATATCAGTACCAACCCAGTACAAATACCTTAAAAAAAACAAAGACACATTTTATGTCAACTGATAGCATCGACTGAATGGTATCATTACTGACACGCTTATACACCAGTTTATGGGGGTCTATCTTGAAACAGCGCCGCCAATGTCTCACAACTTTTCATTGGGGAACTGGTGCAGCCTAGCCTGAGCAGCTAGCTAGTTACAATAAAGCACCGAGCAACCAATAGCGCCGCTGGGCCCAGACCATAGATATAGCAGTTGACAACAGATTCGATCTTTTGCTAATTACTGTAGGCCTAGGTAAACATAAAAATACCTTTTTACGACTTACGCTTGTATAAATATCAACATTTCGTTTCTTTTTCTTGTTAGTAATTTAGTTTTATCTTTTAATTAATTCATGATGGCATCTATGTAGACAGAAATGCTAGGCCTCTGGAAGTCCCCCAGTGGTAGTTGCCAGGTTCTCAGAAATGTTCATTTCAAATTTAGCAAAAATGGTGTATTGATATCAGTAAAGCTCTGTACACACTATCAAATGTTATTTGACAAATAGTGATAATTGTAAGGTGCAATGATATCATCATGTCCATAGGCTCATAACGCACATTTGTCGTATAAAATTTGATCGTGTGGACAGACCTTAACAACCCAAAATACCTCTAAAAAGCACATTTCATGTCTGTTTATATAGAACCGAAAGGTCCACTGATTAATCTCAGAAGTATTGAAATACACGCCATCGTGTTGGGATTCAATGAATCCCAAAACGATGGCGTGTATTTCAATACTTGGAGTATGTATTATACTTTCTTGTTTATATAGCATCGATGGGTATTAGGCCATTATTATTTGTAAGGGTTGGTATTATACGATTTTTATCTCAACCTCTGTGACGTAAAATTACAAGGTTCTACAAAATAACGTTTTTATCACCAAACAAACTGTAACGATCTTATAACGTTTTATTGTTAGCTTTAATTTTCTACATAGATTATTGAAAGCTCAGTAGTTGAATTATCAGGTTTGGAGTGTACAGAACTTCCTTTTCTATCAGATCTGCAATAGTAAAAATTACAATGAAAATCACAACCAATTATAAGGTTACTATCATTTAAAATATGTTGTGGTATCCAGTTGCATATAATTGTCCAGTTGTAATGTTATTAATTATCGACAAGTCAGCATTTTGATTGTACTATCAAAAATACTAGAACGGGCAGTATATGTTCAATTAGAAAAATATTTAAAGGAGAACAACATATTTTATGAATGCCAGTCCGGGTTTAGGAGAAGTTTTTCCCCTGATTCATGTTTGATACATTATGACAGACTATGTCCGTACTCAAATGTCAATTGGAAATTATACTGTGATGGTAGCGTTAGACCTTCAAAAGACAAACGACACAGTTGACCATTGTATTTTGACTTGTAAATTAAAAGCAGTAGGAATATAGGATCTAGATAACAGGCAACAATTGGGGTATGTCAACAAAGCTGAACTTTTGTTCCTGTTATGATATACCGAATAGTGTAAAATTTATTATAATGCCTATGACAGTATTCTAATTGTGTCAGGTAAAGACACAACCATATTGGCGAGAAGTCTGATAGATAACAAGTTATCTATTCACCTTCAATGGCAAAACTGAGGTAATCCTTTTTGGAACAAATTATAGATTGAAAAATGCCAATGAATTCTCAGTTAGTTGCAATGGAGTCGCAATTAAAGAATCCCTTTCGATAAATTACTTGAAAATATCCCTTGATCAGTCTTTACCATGTAAAAACATTGTTAACACAACCATTAAGAAAATTTCTGAAAGACAAAAATTCTTATACAGACAAGCATCTATCCTCAATGAAAATTCTAGAAAAATACTATATTCTGCACTAAATCAATGTCATTTTGTCTATGCATGCTCATCTTAGTTTTCGGCAATCACACAGAAATTTCAGCAATCACACAGAAATTTAAAAACAAGCATGTTCTGCTATATAAGATGGTAAAATTCATCATTAAATTTATCTGTTATCCTTGTTGTGATTTGTTTTCATTTTGTAGTATTTTTGCATAATTTTTTTCTTGTTCTTTTTCTCCTTTTGAATGTGATTTTAATGTGATTGTCTTTTGATATGATTGTCTTTCAGCACAAAAGTGAATACATTGTTATTTATTTCTATATTATTTAATAATATCGTACATGTCATTTTGAACATTAATGATTTTACCTGGAGAATTTTCATCAAAGAAATAGAAACACCAAACAGCTTATAAATTAAAAATAAAAATTGCAACGTTACCTGTTTTTTGAATCTATTCGTAAGTTGTCAAATCGAATGATTTCAGAGTCGTTAAAAAATTTCTTTCTTTCAGTTCCATCCAGGTTAATGACATAAATAGAAGTGCCTCCATCGTCCACCCAGTACAATTTTCGATTAATGACATCAATTTCAATACCATTTCTGGCTTCATCTGAATTTTTTAAAAATATAATAGGAATATGAATGAATTAAGTTGTGTTGAGTATATTGTAAGCTAATATAAGGCGCCCCCACCCCAAAAAAAATGTGTGTTATTGCCCTCCGCAACCGACCGAAATTTTCTGGTCCGCATTTTGTTTGTTTGTTTGTTATTTTTAATCTTGTTCACAGGTCTTCCTTTCATTCAAGTACAAATTCGAGAAATACAACCACTTCCAAAATTACATTTAGAAAATCTAAAATAGACATAGAAGGCCTATTTCTACCAAAACTGGATGGACCATAGATGCACGCGTACAATCGGTAAAATAGAAGGCTTGAGGACCGAGCGCACGACGAAGATGTATGAACACAACATCGCCGATCTGTCTCGCAGTCAACCAACCCACCCAGGTCTTGCCAAGACCCGATCTAGGTCGGCTTAGCTTAATAGGTAAGAAGATACTCTCTAGCTCTAGACCCAGGGAGTTGTTAGACTAACTAAGGGGCCTAGGCATGGTCAATACTACTGAAAAACAAGGCCCTAGAACTAGTGGTTGCCGGAATCAAAGAGGCCTAGGCTACTAAGGCCTATATTTATATTTCATTACCTTACGGTATATTGGACAATAAATAAAAACAGGCTTAAACCTAGCTATCACTAAAGCTGGTACCTAGGCCTAACTAGCCAGACGTTTTTACTACTGTAACTCCATTTTGGCCAACCATCAACGACGAAATATTTTAGGTTTTTTTTCTCCGAAGTTTTACTTCGATTGTATTACATAGAGGGCGTTTTCTTGAACATTTTTCATCCATGTTGAATGCCTCGTGGTTCATAAACCAAAACGTCATTAGTCAAAACGGCAATAAACCAAATAAATAAATAAATACAACTTTAAAATACAGACAAAATGAGGCTACAACAATTTATGTCATAGAAGTAATAATAATAAAATAGTACCAATATAACGTACAAATTCAATAAGATTGAGGAAACACAATCATCAAGCAGTAACATAAATAAAATTTAAATACATAGGCCTACAAGTTTAATAAAAAGGGGGAAAAACGAAAAAACGCGATTAAAGCGGGCCGGGGAAAAGAGCGCATGGAAATATTCGATTTGTCTACAAATGATCGGGCCAATTTCAAGACGATTTGAAAAAATATGTGTTTTGGTTGACAATCAGCCTTCAAAGCGTCTCTCACGTGAATGTTCGTTCCTGTAAATTTTACCTACACAATTCAAACAGTCATCCTAGTAGACATTGGCTTTTTTAGGAATCCGGTCAAGTATCAATAGCTCGCTGCCTACTGCCGGGTACATGTCACTGCCGTTTTGGTACTTATCATTGCCGTATTTCGGTTGACCGGGTATCACGATATAGCAGCTTTAATAAAATTTCAATAACAATTAGGCCCTATATCGTTGTAATGATATGAATTTGCGTCAGGAAATATCATAGGAGTGATGTTTTGCCCTACCTGACTTGTTATCGTACCGAATACTCAATACGTCCCAAATACTATACTAGCGAATAAAAAAAAAAATCGCAAGTGATTCAGATGGGAACTCGTCACGACCTCCAGGTATCTAGCCTGACGTCTTAACTACTAGACCACCGAGCTTGCCACTGTAGATTCCATGGATTTGAAATGGATCTTATTGGTATCATATTTAATTTAAACAGATCTTAAATATTTTAACCATATTAAATCTACACACATATGAAGCTACGGAAATTGGAAATTGATATTGGAGTCCCATGTACTCTGTACTCAAGGATCAATATTTAGCCTTTAACCCCTGCCTATAATGAACCTTTCCGTTAAGCTCCGATTCTTAGATGCTGCTAAGCAAAGAGTAACAGGTCCCACACAAATCGACATTTTATAAAATTAACGCAAACACGTGCTGTGGGACAACGCGTGTGTGAGACGCGTGCGTATTCCTGGCGCTGTTCTGATTGGTCAGTTAAGTTTGATTGACACTTCGGAAAGGTCTATTAATAAAGGTTAATACGTAAGAGTATGCAGACGAAAAAATAATTCTTCTCTTCTAACAACCACTGAATTAAAAATGTCCTTCAAGAAAACTTTGTCTAAATTTATCATAACAAAAGAACACTTTATATTATTTTGTTAGTGTTTCTGAAAAGGCCACTCTTGTTTAAACAAAGTTATTTAAAAATGTTAATAAAACATGAAAGAGGAATCCGTATACGTGAGTGAACAAATTGAAAAGAAAAAAAAAAGATCAAAATTTGTCGCTGTCACAGCATCGTTGTAATATTAATTTTAATTTTATATATAAACAAAAAATATTATATATATATATATATAAACATATATAAACTCATATAGGCCTATATGTATATTACGGTCTGTATTTTATAAATCTTATAGGCTTTATAGTTTATATTAGTATAATTATAGGCTTACGGTATGTGAGCTTTTCTATAATAAATACAAGTAGGCCTAAACCATATACGCATTTACACCTGATTTCAATTTCATTATAGCCTGATCGAAAGGTATTTTTCTTGAACTTACTACTGTCCACATCAGTAATGAAATAATCATGCGTTTTATCCTCAACAGAATATTTTTCGATTGTATCAAGGGCTACATCTTCCCAATAGACCATTGAATCTATTCCATCATAAACAATGCCATAAGGTTTCGTGACCATTGCTGGAATGGGTGTAAGATTGATGGTTGTGTCATCAATCGTTATGTTAGAAATTCCAATAAACGGAGGATTGTTTGCAGTTGCAACAATTACATCACCACCTGTAAGAAAAAAGAAATCACGCTAGAGAGTTTTTATTTATCAAAAAATAAAGCTATTTTAAGTATCCTAAGTGTCATGGGCCTAGATTATGTACAAATGCGTTTTGAAGCATATTTTAGTTCGTCATCAGCCTTTGATATGCCTCAATTAAAGTTCTAAAACAAACTGTTTTAACCATTCACGCTATTTGATGCATGATATTATAAAATACACTCTATACAAATTAAATGCCTTCTTTTTTTTTAATTAAATGCCTTCTTTTTTTAAGACATTTTGAAATTGTTACTCCTCTCTGAACCTATAATAATAATAATAATAATAATATAGATAATAATAAAATTAATTATCATAAATACAACATTATTAATGTTGTAATTTTGATAATTTTTAATGTGTTTTTGGGAGTGTAATAATATTGTTAATTCTAATAATTTTATTAATATTTATAATACAGCGAAACGAAAAAAGTTTGAGTTAGAACTTATGATCTTATATTTGAACAAAAATAAACAACACGTTACCAAATGTAAAACCGATTGAATTTGATGTAAAAAATATGAGGATACATGTCCTGATAAAGCACTGAAAGCAGCCGTTCTTCGCCATCCAATATCTACAATTTGCAAAATGTAAAAATACTGTATATTAATTCTTCGCTGTTTAGCTGTAGACATCCATTTACGCAAATAATCATAAACCATTGATACATCAATGTAACATCGTGGGAAGACTGGTATCGGATAAAATACAGTAGGCCGGACTCAGGTGTTAGAGAGTACTGCAATATGGTTTAAAGTCGGACTACGATCGATAGCGACAAATAAACAGTGCCAAAATGCTCCTATTTTGTAATAAATTGCACTATTTTGGAAACGGGGGATCGTTTTCTGGCTAAGGGGGTTCGCTGGCAAGAGGGGGTTCGCCCGAACCCCAAAAAACCCCCCTGGCTACGGGCCTGCATGTGGCCAAAATGTATTATATAAGATGTTACAGACCTACCAATAATAGTGATAGACATACGTCGTTCCTAACATGGATCAATAGGTTGCTATTTAAAGCGAACAATATATTTATCAAACAAATCATCGTACGGTCAATTTTTCCAATCTTAAGTATATATAATTAATTAAACCTTTTGGTAAAATTTCCTCAATCTTCATCAACTTACCTTGTGTTAAATAATTCTAAACGATTTCGTTTCTAACTGATACCGTACACTTTAAGGTTCCGTAGACACCTACTGACTTGTTCTACCTGTATTCACCCTTCTGTTGTACTTCTACACTTTTGGAGGTCGTCTTTACCGCCCTAGAGACAGCCTTGAACAATTGATGCATCACCGTGTCTGTTTTGTCCCTTGATTAGTTATTGTTTGTGGATTAAATGTGCTACTGCTTAATTTGGAAGTTTTATTATCTAGCTACTTTTAGTTGTGGCTATTACGTAAAAGCTGATGAAATGGCTTGTTTTTCTGGGGGTATATAACTATTTTATCCGCAAAGAATGACGCTGTAGAAATAACTGAAAAAAATAATCCAGGGAAAAACATTGAGAGCTGTCCTTGGGTTTTACTCTATGTACCCACCTATTCCCTCGAGTAATGAGAGGAATTATAGCCTATGCAAGGAAAGGCGTAGACGAAGTTCTATGCTTTTAATCATGTGTTCTTGTCCTGCTTAGGCCTGTCTGGTATGGAAGGGTGTGCAGTAACTTAAACTCTATATTAAGTATAATTTAACCAAACATGTATCAAACGATATTAACAGTACTAAACTATAAAAAAGATCATCTATCGATCTATGTTTTCGTAGACTACTTAAATGACATTTAACTTGGGTTGGGACTACGAAGGCTACCGATTTTTTTTGCTTTTATCATAGGGCATGAGAAACAGCTTTTATAAACGTGTTTTAATGTCGGGGTAACAAAAGAGCTGCATTCCGAACCAAGTATAGGCCTATGTAAATAAATTATATGTAGGCCTACAAAACCTGATCTAGCTAAACGACCATAATAAAACAGCGTAAAAAGAAAGTAAAATTAATATTAATAAGGTATGTAAACAGTAAATGTCATCGTCATATTTATCATTCTGTATAATTTATTATAAATTTATATAAAAAATCTATATGACTCTTTCTATGCTCTATATTTCCAGTGAAGAATAATTTCTGTTTTAGACAATTGTCAATTATATTTACGTGTCTTGTAAGAAGATGAACATGAAGAAGAACATGAGCTAAAACAATAATCAAAAATTCAATTCCATGATATTTGAATTGAATTGCCTAATTTGTATAGATAGTATTACACAAATTAAATAATAATGAGAAATGCCTCCGCTATTTAATAAGGACTTTTAACTGAACTGTTCAATGTTCTTAAATTATCAGACAGTTAAATTTAAAGCCTTTCCATTCGTGTGCATATTATTATTGAAATTGGTAAAAAAATAAATTTAATGATTTTTGTAGTATGCTATCAGAAAAAAATCATTTGAATGTAATCTGTTTCTGGCTGGAAGTTATAATAAATTATTTGATCATTTTAAAGGAGTTAATTAAAATTAGAGATTCCTTGTAGCTGATTTCCAGCGCCTCAAGAGGCAGAAAAACGTAATCAGGAGAAGCAAGTATTACAGCAGATGAAAAGGCTGAAGCGAGTGCCAACGATTTCAGGTAACTGTGGAAATAAACAAGAAAAGCCAGTTTCTTTGGCCACTTCAGTGCTTTACTGCATCATATCTGAGAATCCACCGATCTTGCCTTACACTTTTGCTTATTTTGTTAAAACTGTTCCTTTGCAGTTTTTGTGCTTTTCTTAAGAATTATAAGTATTTAATAATACTTAATACCGTAATAAGTTTTAAGTATTTAGTTAAGTATTGATTGTTAATGTTAAGATTCTTATATCTCCTTTTTCTTTTGTGTATTTTGTAAGACCGCACCCTGACTGTGAGTGCCACCGATACAAAGGTGAAGTGTCACAAATAAATAAATAAATAAATAAATAATAAATAAATTGGCTGTGGGAAAGCGGGTAAAGCTGCCGGGCCGGACAGCGACATGTGATGTAATGAAAATCTGTAGTGAGATCATAAGTAACTCCAATAACTCTAATTTTAAACTTCTGTTTCCAAAACAGCTGTTGCCCATCTGATTGGTTGATTAGTTACTTATTGCCAATGCAAAAATCTATCCAATTATTGCGAGAGCAAAAAACGAAGATAGTTAAAGTCTGGTTCCGGAGGAAAAACATTTTTGATATGTTGTAGAACTGATTTTAGCTAAGACAGAAAAAAGGTGTTTGACGAAAAACTGGGAAATGAGATACAGATTTTTGAATATTTAAAAACTGGGGGAAAAAGGGGCTTAACCGCCCAATTTTACACCTTTTTGTCCAGGATATGAGGGACCATAACCTGGTGCACAGTGGCGTAAGGTCAAGGGTGGGGGGCACGTGCCCCGGGCGCCAGATTTGGGTGGGGGGCGGGGGTAGCTGAAATTGGAGAATGAGAGTAAAAGAATAAGCTCTTTTTAGAAAAACACGACGAAATTGATGTATGATGTCGTCAGGCATGAATATTTTCCAGTTAATAATAAGAATCTGAATGAGTTGTTTTTATTCGCAAATTTATAGATTGTGATTACTTTTCAGTCCATTTCGACCGTTTTCTCTTGTTTTTTTTTTTTTTATCCTATTCTTAATGACTTCATGACTATAAAGCTCATCCTGTCATATCCCAGAGCCACGATGGGAAAAGCGAGACTATCGTATCTGCTTTGGCACTACTTAGTATAGTCCGTGATGAATCAGACAACATTGCTAACTTTGATCATTAACTTATTTGCTGATGCAAAATCACAAAATTCAGTTGCGAGTTTAAACAATGTTAAAAATTCAGCAACTTACAAAACTCCACTATTAAATAAATTTAGAGAAAGAATACTAAGCTGTATGCGATATTATAAATGCAACAGGCTTAAATATAAATTAGGAAAATGGTAAAGTTAGGCCTAAGCCTAGTTATCCGGATCGGGAGCTAACCGTTAGTGTTACCGTTAGCACCTATGATGTGAGAACGCCCGATCGGTTAGCGCTACCGTTAGCGGTATCCGGATACCGCTAACGGTTCAAGCGCTATATATCGGTTAGCAAGCGTATATATCGGTTAGCAAGTTGAGCGCGTTTCTATCATCAACCAATCACACGTAGGCCTACGCGTTAACAATTTCCATAGTTTCTTATTGGCCAGTGATTCGATCATCATTGGTATCCGGAACAGGATTTTCTCGTATGGACGCATGAGAGCTAACGGTTAGCAGGATCAGGATCCTGCTACCGTCAGCTACCGTAGCCATGTCTAAATGTTATTTAGACAGTGCATGATATAGACGTACAGTACGGATATGCTTAAAGTGTATAGGCCCTACAACCAATATCAATTTATTTCAAAATATTATAATTATAATTAGGGGGGGGGTGCAAATTTCTACTCTTTCCCCCAGGCGCCAAAACCTCCAGCTACGCCATTGTTGGTGCAGCATAGCAAATTGTACCTTATAATGCTTGCTCTTGTAAGTTTCGTGGTAATTCCCGGAACCTCACCAGGGCAACAGGTATGCGCCCTTGGGTGACAGTGGATGTTGGGGTAAACACAGACACTTAAGATTGGTTGAACGCCTACTTTATCAAAGTAAAAATAATGTAAAAGTTTAGTGATGGTATATACCTGGTGTGATATCTGTGCGTGGCCAGGCATGCGTTACATATTGGGCCATGTGGGCCACTTGTAGGCCTATTCAATATTTGAATAAAGTGTACTACATATACAAAATAAATAAATAAATAAATTCGCCAACCGAAACTGGAACAAGATGCCGACGGCGACGATCAGAAGCATGATCTCTATACACTGTAGGCCTCTGTAATAGCTCTAGGCACTTAACAGTTGGGAATTAGTTTTACAGATCTTTCTGAAAGTAGTTACGTCTAATAAATAATAAGTATTAATCCATATTTTTTCACGAGACTAATAGTTTATAATAATTTTAAATATTTTAATGTGTAATGGTTTTTATATATTTGTTTTGCATGTTACCGTATTGAATAAAATCTATATGATTTAAATTATAGGGTAGTGTGTGATAGTTTTATATATATTTTGTATATTTTGTCTAATAATGAAAACTTAGTAATCTATTTTTGTAAATAGAGTAAGTTTTATTTTTATATGTAGGTTTTATATACCATTTGTACTTTATGTAAAATAAGTAAACCAGTTTTGTAAATAAGTCTTTATTTTTAATGTGTAATAGTTTTTATATATTTTTCTATTGATTGTAATGCAACACTTTTGGTCTCCTCGTGCTATTGTTTTATACCGTATGTTTTTATAAATAAAAATAAATAAATAAAAGTCGTTGCATTGCTAATAAACAGAGCCGTATTATCTCCATACTATCTCCTACTATAATAGCGCCGCTATGATGTTGCGTACAGAACGTAAGGCCGCCGTGTATTTAATTCCGAGCTGTTTTACAAAATGGCAGCTCACTTGAAAAAGCGAGCTTATGTTGAATTTAGTGTATCAGTGATCCAGGTAAGTTTATTATGTAATCACCTCTAGGCCTAGGGCTGCGGGCCTAGTAGTAGGTCTAGCCTAAGGCATACCCCATCCTACCCTATCCTAGGTTTGCTAGCACGCCCAGTCTAGGGCCTAGGCTAGGCCTGCTAGGTAGGTAGGTACCTAGGCTACCATCGTAGGGCCAGGTAGGCTAAGCCCTAGGCCTAATCTTTAATTTAAAGAATGCCAAGGCCTAGCTAGGCCTAGTAGTAGTAGGCCCTAGCCTATATACGCTCTAAACTAACCATCGTCCCAGAAACTGTGGAAAGTATTTTTTAATTCCACGGAGAATATTTAAAAAGTCAGCCCAAATTTGTACGGCAAATTATATAGGCCTAGAGAACTTTATACACTTTTTAATTTACAAGTTTAAAGATTCCTAAACATGGTTTTTCTTTTCATGAAATAAAAATCATCATCAATGACGACAATTTCTCATTTCCGTTTCTATGTACATACACATACATACACATAACAAGAGTAAATATAATTTCTTCCTCCAACAACAAGAGTAATACTGTACAAAAATTATCACTACATTATTAAATACCGTATTAAATTGTCCGTAAGTTGACATATACAAGAAGTCTAAATCTATAGTCCCTACTTTAGAAAGTCACATTATTATGCTGTTATTAAAACTGGCCTACGATGTATATGAAAAATGCACAAGTTAAAAAAAAAAATTCAGACCTATGGAAAACTGTACATTGAAACCCATCGTTCAGGCTGTTATTTGGCAAATAACGAAATAAACCTCACAAGGCAAATTATGTAGACTTATATTAACACGTTTCAATTTACAAAATAAGATTCCTGAATGTGCTTTTTCTTTTTATGAAATAAAAATCATCATTCAGTGACAACTGGCTTATGATGAAAAAGCTAAAAAAAAAAATTCAGACCCAGTCCCCCCCCCCCCCCCACCTCTCTTGCATACCATCTTTCCCCACCCAAAAACACACGATGGCCATGCATACCCGGCTTAAATTTGCCAATGTTTTCATTCAGTGTCACACCATAAACAGAAAAAAAAATTAGGCCTGGAGTTATAATAGTATCAAAATGTGCAAATAGATTAAACGTGCATGGCCTACCCTTGCACAGTTTGCAAATTGCCCACGCATTTTAAAACTGTGCAACGATCTCCTTGCACAGTTTGCAAAGTGTGCAGAATCTTGCACAGTTTTCAAAATGTCCAAAGAAATCCTTGCACAGATTGTAAATTGTGCAAGTAATAGCTTACGCATTTTGCAAATTGTGCAAACGACATTTATATATTAAGATTGGTCAGAGCCTAATTTTTGGCAAAATTTGCGGGGAAATTGGCCATTATTTTCCAAAATGTGCAACAGACCAGACCGAGTTTTTGCACGGAAGATACAGTATATTCTCGCGCAGGCCTTACTATACAGTGTGGCCATTGTCTATATGATCTTGATTAAAGATCTAGAATAAAACTAGTTGTAGAATAAAATTAAGTCTGTATTTTGTAAGCCTTGCATCTCTTCATTCTATTGACATTGTCTTCAGCTTGGTGATTTTATGTAATTTAGTTGTATTTTTATAGCGCCTTATACAATTGATAGGTCGTCCCCTCTGTCTCTATAATTTATACCTTAGAATTCTTTTAACTAGGATTCGTTTTCATTTCCTTTATAACTAATCACCATATTTACTGGCCAAAAAAAACCCCCCCAAAAAAACAACAATAACGTCTACCCAAACACTAACCATTTGAACTACAAAAATATGAATTCTATTTTATTTTTTATTATAACATGCTATAGCAAACAATAGCCACATTGAGTTTGACAAAATCAGCAAATATCAATGTTCAGGCTATTTACAGTATCTTGTCAAGGAATGGTTTTTTTTGAATGTGTGTTTTTATCTATGTCTTTTTTCCCACTTTGAGGAGGAAGCCCCAAAACCAAAGAAGCTTCGTTTGACAGTTCCTCCTGTTAGTGTTTCACCATCGCCAGTATTTGACCTCGGTGTAGCAGCTGGCCCTCAACAAGTACTTCAGCAACTTAAAAGTTTAACTGATAGTCTCCCTTTATCCAGCCAACATGTTAGTGAGTATCACAGTTTTGAGTAAACAAAAATGTGTTCCCGTAGGATTATTAATAATTTTAATAATACCCAATTCATACAAGACAAAAATGTATATAGGTTGAATAGTTTATGGGCTTTTCAATATACAGATTTATTTATTCATCAGTTTTAGAAGGGGGTTCAGTCAGTGGCGTATCGAGGAGTTGCATGGAGGGAACACTCGACCCAAAGAATACTCAGGCCTCCTAATGTCTCCCTCCAAAAATCATGGTCATGTAGTTAAAAATCACATCAAATAACCTTATATTGCGAGGTAGCACCTATTCTCATTTTTGCCTCATGCCATCTGGTCAACGTTACAAAACCCCATAC